AGGCACCGTGGCTCATGCCTATAATCCCAGCACTTTGAAAGGCCAAGACAGATGGATCACTTGAGGTCAGGAGTTTGAGACCAGCCTGGCCAACAAGGTGAAACTCGTCTCTACTAAAAATACAGAACTTAGCTGGGTGTAGTGTTGCACACCTGTAGTACCAACTACGTGGGAGGCTGAGGCATGAGAATCAGTTGAACCCGGGAGGTGGAGGTTGCAGTGAGCTGAGACTGCACCACTGCACTCCAGCCTGGGCAACAGAGAGAGAGAAGTTGTCTCAAAAAACTAAAATAAAATAAAATAAATGAGTAAAATGAAGACCGAAACTGGAATGTGAAACAGCAAGATGATGTCATTCCCTTTTGCACACATGATAGTTACCACAAAAATCCAAACAGCTAAGAGTCATGGTACCAGGCCACACAGACTAACAAAACTGTTACCTTGATGATGCCAACCAAAGTCGTTTTCATCATTAAGATGCCTTCGGTAAAAATGGAAATAGCATGAGTAAGCTTGGCAACCTATAACAAAGAAAAAGAGGTATGAAAAATACTTCAGATAAAAGACCCATCATTTCCAGGAAATCAGAAATCATTGGCTAATAGTCCTGGAATGAGCAAAGATAACAGGAAATGAACCTGCAGCTTTAGGACACCTGTGTCCACATGTTCTGGACAGAAATGAGGCTCTATGGTATAACTGAAAGCCCACTGTTAGACATATTGGGAAACCGAGTCAGAAGACATCAGTTCATTCTTTCACGTTTGACAAAGCATTTCTCCTTTAGGCTTCATTTTCTCATGTCTAAAATTTGGGACAGAACTCAATGATCTAGACGGGCCCTTCTGGCTAGAAAAGACTATGAAAATGCGAAGATAACCTCCCCTTCCCCAGCCTCCCGATTATTTGCAAGCAACACCAGCAGACATTGACAGGGTAGACAGGTGCTAGCTATATTGCTGAATCAGAATAAACGTGGAAATATCAAGCTTGATAATCTAAGTCCCTGACATATTTCTTGGATTTGTGTCAGAATGGGAAATTAACACTGTATATCACATTTTCAATCTTCACTTGATTTTACTTTTGATGTCTTTAAATTCTAAGTTCAGGGAGAAAAAAACCAGAGGTGTTTGGGGAGAAGAACCTCTGAGGCTGCTGAACTATTACTGAGTGAGCTTAAAATCTGCCTATAGGAAATGGTTAATGGAATACAGATTATTTTGAGCTGCTCAAAAAGCAGGAACATGATATGAAAAGTCAGGTAATCTAGTTCAAAGAGAACAAGGGCTGCTTTAGCAAGACCGTTCTAGAAAAAAGTGGCCAGCTAAGCTCCATTTCCCCTGAGAATACTGAGGCGAACAAGGCCTTAAATGACACCAGGAAAATGTCAAGAATAAAAGGTGTGATTATACTAAAATCGTAAAACATGTTTACCATTGCAAATGTGAGAAAACAAGTCAGAATTGGTCTGGTGGTCCCCAGAATACGGCAGGCGACACAGGCCTGTGATATTTCATGACTTAGTTTTTAATATGAAAAGGCAGAAGTCAGAGGACACAGTACCTCGTATCGTGGGCCCAGCTGAGCATAGTCCCTCAGCTTGTCTTTGTCCAGGCGGGTAGGCACTTCAATAATGTCGTGAGTCTGAAGCTTTATGATCTTTAGAAGAGATGTAAACATGCTTTCTGGGATGATCTGCAAAACCTTCAGTGAAAAGGACAGAAGGAAACGCAATGAACATCCGTTTTACTTTTCTTGGCTGACAAATATTAGGATGGCAGTAAACGACAGCAATTTATCTATATAGGGGGATGCTGAAAAATGTAAAAGAGCTGTTTAAATAACTGCTAACAGGCACAGGGCTCCATTCCTTTAAATATTAATTGCTTACAGAATATAAAGCTAATCCTTCTAACAATGCTGCAAAAAACCGTATCATTCCCACTTTACTGATTTTAAAAAGATCGAGGTTCAAAAATGTTAAGTAACATCATTATAGAGGACTCGGCTAGTATGTGACACCAGTAAACTTTGAATTTAGGCCTGTCTGGCTTCATGCTCCATCAGAAGTTATTAAAACAAGAATCAAAATTCCCATGAAAACCTGAATTGGGCTGTGACCGGGAGATGCTGGATCTAGATCTGGCTTTTACCAGATATGGCTCTGTGATTTTGAAGAAACTATTATAATCTCTGTTTCTACATCTATAAAATAGACGTAAATACCATCAACATTTAAAACACAGAAATAAAAGTTCCTGGCAAGTAAAAACATCTGTACATCCACAGTAGCAATAAGTTTATTTTTAGGTGTTGCAAATTTCTGGAATCAGATTTTTAAAAGGGAAAGAGACACGGATATACTTTTTGGGGGCCTAAGCATACTTTTTGTATTCAAAACAGCAGTAATCTGGTAAGAGTAAATATCACCCTGATGCATTTCTTACTTTTCTCACATAGGATACCAACTCTCCAGAATAGTACTGCGACACACTGAGCAGATCCGGGCTATTTGCCTGATTAATACGAAGAAGGGGCAGATCCAGGGCAGAGGCAAGCTGGAAGAAAAATAAGGCATATCTGTTTCTCTGTTTCAAAAAGAGTCCTAGAAA